AGATTGAATGCACTGCTCAACTATATACAGTATCAGCTGACATTTTCAAAGCAGAGATTTAGCGACACATCCTTCGTTAATTGTAATGACTAGGGGTATATCTACACAGCTGCTGTGATGAACACAGATGTGCCACTGAGAAGCACACCCTGCCCACTCACTCCTGTTCTGTGGAAGCCCAGAAATTAAGCAGTGTAGCAAGTTAGCACAACACTGAACACTTGCCTAGAGCTACTGTAAGGGTGCCTGTGTCAGGTGTGCCTCATGGTACATGCTCAGGGCCACACCAAACTGTCTGTGTTACCTAAACTCTGGGCTTTAGTGTGCCTAGGGTAAGAGCCACTGCAGTGCATGGTTCTCAGAAGTACCTGTGGGATTGTAATGGAGACAGCATAGACATGTTCTAAATCTTCTGGACTGCTTTGATCTTCTTAACCTATATATATTTTATATCTAAATATAGACAGGAAAAAGACACAGATGATCAGAGTCAGTCCATTCATTAGTGTTGTTTTCATTTATTACCACATACACAAAAGTGACTGTTTTCCAAGTGCAAAAGGGCTTACAGATGTTTGCACACTTGTGTGTTTAACCAGCCAACACACACATTACACACAAGAAAACGCAAAAACAGTACATTATGCAATGTTAAGTTTGAACCAATACAACCACAGTAATCAAGACAGTCAGGATTTTGTGCTCATAAGAGTTTACAATCTAAGGACCCCGTTTGCAAATCTGCTGAGGGTGGAAATTATTGCTGTCATGTAATGATGTAACTATTGTCATTGTTTTCAGCAGGGCTCCACATGGTCAAAGAAAACCAGCTCTAAAGATCAGGGTCCAGGGTAACAGCAAACAGTGACAGTACATAATGAGGGTGGGAAAGGACCAAGAGGAAGGTGAGGAAATCCTACCCCCATTGAGGTCAACTTTAGTGGGACTAGGATTTCACTCAGTAAGGTGATGTGAATAGCATGAGCCAAATCCTATTTCACCTTTATTTTTTAAGTGGCTTTTACATAGCCATGTAACTTGTATTTTGGTCACTGGCTGAAAGTTTAAATTCTTATTTCCAGCTGCTGAAGAATAGGATCATCCAAGTATGTGTATAATGGTTGAAAGGAACACGAAGGAGAACAATCCTTCCCTCTCTGAGCCAAAAAGCCATGTGGTGAGAGCACTTGCCCAGGAAATAGAAAAGCCAACTTCTAGACTCCCCGAGCACCTATACATACCAGATGTCTGCTCCAACATAATTAGGGCACTTTATAGTTAGAGTGGCTCTGAGTTCTGCTTTAATTAAAGTGCCTGTAGCGTCACATGTATTCAGCATCCCTGCACTTGCAGATGGTGGTGGGGGCACTTTAACTAAAACTCATTGAACAAGTATTAGTTAAAGTGCCCCTGCTGCCATTTTCAAGCATACGACACTGAATACGTATGGTGCTGTGGGTGCTTTAATTAAAGCAGTACTCTGAACCACTCTAATTAAAGCGCCTCTCTCCCCTACCCATGAGCATGTGTAAAGATGCTCTGTGCTTCTCAGAGCAGGTTTTAACCTGCAACTCCTACTTAGCAAAATGCTACAACTACCAAGCCTTGGGCTAAATATTGCCCAGGTCATTTTCCAGCCCTCTTCTTGAACATAACACACTTTGGTAGCCAATCGAGGAAGAGAAGCACAAGCTAGAGAGAAAGTGGCTCAGCAAGAGGACCCCATCCTCACAGGGAGGGTGCTTTGGGTTGAGATTTTTACTCTGCCCCAATTGGGCAGAAATTTCTACAATTAATCCAATGAATATTAGGGGTAGGGACCAGAGCTAGGGACAGACATTCAAAAAGCCTAAGCCTGAATTGATTCAATCTTTGTAGGTTAGTTTAACCTGGCTAGGCTAAACTGTTTTTTGAACTGCACAAACATCCCCTCTGCACTAAGGAAATTAAGGCACATGCCTGCAGTGGCTCAAGCTAGAAGCTGGGGGAGAGGGAGGGGGCACTAGAGCAGCAGTCCCTGCCCTTCCACAGTGCTGAGCTGAGGGGGGGTTTGGGCAGGCCCTGGCAGGATGCTCTGATTAGGGAGGGTTCCCCCCCAACTTGATAACAGAGCATTTATCATCTCTGTTATCAGCATTTAGCACCTCATCATAAAACAAAGCCTCTCTCATTAGTTCAAGCTCTTCTTTAACAGCTTTTTCCAAGAAAGGAATGGAGGGACATTACCAGCTACCTGTTAATTAGCTCCAAAAAGCCCTAAGCAGACACTGTCCTGTCTGATTTTGTCCTGTCTGCCTTACACAGACACCTCTCAGCATTAGCTAGCATAGCGCATGCAGGTTATGGTCCATGGTGTGGGAGAGAAGAGGGGGGGGGTATGGCCAGATGCTGGGTGGGGTCTATGCCGCTGGGGTTCTTGCCTTGGGAGAGAGGCAGGAGTGGAGGATCCCTGCTTGAGCAGTGGGGGGGATGGGGCAGGGGGAAGCTAGGCAGACGCTGCTGTGCCTATAAGTGTCTGCTGGAGCTCCAGCGAGGGAGCAGAGGGGAGGGAACAGCTCAGCTCTCTGGAGCAGAGAGCCCAACCCAGCCCAGAGAGCATGCCAGGATGCTGGGAGACGTTGGTTTATCTTAAACCAGGAAGGGGTCTGGGACAGACATTGCATAAACCAGTTTGACCCAAATCAGTTAAGTCTGATACTACATTCAACCAGGTTTATCTCAAACCAGTTTCAGCCACTTTCAAACTGGTTTATGTGTACTGAACATCTTCTCTGTTACAGGTTTAAACCAGTTTCTGATCACTTAAACCAGTTTATGTACCATGTCTGTCCCTAGCCCAAATGTCAAGCTTCCTCCTTTCCAGAGCAGTATCCACCTTACAGAGCCAAACCAACTCAAGCTTACTCTTTTCTTCCAGGCCACACATATCTTTCTCTTTTACTGCTCATAGATGTCCATGAAGAGAGCACTCTAGCTAATCTTTAGCCTATGGCCTGGTTATCACAGTATGCTGCTGGGAAGTGGGAGATGCAGGTTCACACCCCCTTTGGATAAAGTAGGTCTAGAACTGGAATCTCCCACTGTCCAGGCAAGTGCCCAACCAGTAGGTTAAAAAGTGGAAAGGCTGTCCTTCTTTGGTGTCAAAGAGTCTCTTGCTGTGGTTCTTCCCTGGCATATATAGCTAATTCTGTTCCTCCCAGAGCTTATGCAGCGAGGTAACCATAATGAAGCCTTCCAAGCATTGCTGTACAGTTTCAAACAAAATCTAAACTCAACTTAAGCATCAAGAATTGCAAGTACGCAGCTAGACAAGTGCCACTCAGGCTTGTAAAGGTGAAAGAAGATGTGGCCTATGTGACAAACGTGCATGTTTTAATGGTCACTGGCTTTTTACAGCAATTGCAATTGTTTTGCTTTGATTAAAATTGCATTAATTTTGTTTTCAACCACTTAATCATCTCTTTAAAAAAAGAAAAAGCAAGTAATTAATTGATCCTATCAACATGTTTTTAAAAATACGCCAGTTAGGCTTTGAAGCTTACACCTCAAGTTGTTGACTGTAGTAGGAGTGTCCCTACCTTTCTATTCCAATTATTTGACTAGTGATGATTTTTGATACATCTAGATTAATGGGGTAGCAACATATTTGTTTACACTGTGGTGGAACTCTGCAATATGTCGATCAAGACGTTCAAATGTGATTAGTGATTTCTAGTGTCTCAGCTGTCTGGTGCTCAAAGGAGCCCAATTCTCAGAGATTGGTTGCTTAGTGCTTTATGAAAATCCACCCTCGTTAAAGTGTCTCAAGTTTGGCATCCAAATATACTTGTCTTGACTGAAAACCTTGACTTTAAGTTATATAGTAAATGCTAAATGTGCACATAGAATGTAGAAGGTAACTGAAACGTCCTAAAACAGCAGAACCCCAATTTTAACTTTTATTAGTTTTGCACTTGCAATTCTTTCTTAGCCCAGATATTTAAGCATGTATTTGTGGAGGATTTTTCTGTGTGCGTTTCAAAGAGAAACATTTACAGTTCTCATCATTTATGTTGCCCTCACACTAGGCTACAAGGCACAGTCACTGTCATTGTCTGAGCTGCCAGGTGGAGTGTACAGTGGTGATAAAAATAGGACAGGACAGGATGCCAGCAGGCTTTGCCAAACTCCTGTGCAGATAACATGCTCAGAAGTTATGTTGCACGTGATTGTAGATTTTTTAAAGTATTTTTCTGTAAACCAAGAAAAGGTTTTGCATTTCAAACAGCTGCTCTTGCTGCTGCTATGTCCAAAACCCCATCTATCTAGAAGCGTCTTAGCAAGGAGCTTGGTTTGGGGTTTTTTTCCCCTCTAAATCCTCTCAGAGCTCACAAAATAACAGAAGTGACTGAGCTCAAGCTTTTTAAAAATAAATTAACAATTCACTCTGGACAGACCCCAGCTGGGAAAATTTCAGCTCAAAGGGTGAATGTTTCAGGAACCTATGTGTGTGTGAAGACAAAGATTTGGACTAGAACATGTTTTGCAATTTTTGCTACGGCAATTGCTGCCAGGTGTTTCTGGTAAGTCCCTGGGACAAATTCTCAGCTGGTATTAACTAGTTTACATTCAGTAGCCGTTCACACATCATTTATTAGACAGAGGGAGATGGCACTCGCACACATAGTATGTCATCATTTGTACCATTCACTTTGGAGGTGCCACCTCTTTTCCCCTTGGGTCAAACCAACAATTCATGTGGAGTTCAGTTCACAAGAAATATTTGGTGCACACTTTTTACAAGCATTTCTGTAAAACGTCAGAAATGTGCTTTCCTGCTGTTCCCCACTCGCTGGGATCTATCCTCGTTCTCCAGATCTGCTGCTGATAAGAATTCAGTTCTGAAGAACCAAGCATTCCAGAAAGGGTTCTGATCACAAAAGCTGGAGGACTGAGGTATATCCATCATTGAATCCTTTCATTTCCTAGCAGGCAAGTGTGTTGCCATTGCTGAGGAAGGTTTAAAGTAACAAGTCCTTAACGACTGTCAAATTGTGGTCTTGAATGTACTGCAGTAAAATCTGTCCTCGTCTGTCAATGGTTTCAAGCAGGTGTCTAAGTCCCTCAAAGCCACCCTGGCTTTCCCAGAACTCTTGATCCATGTACAGTGACTTAAGAAGCATGTTCTGTAAACATCCTGACTGGAGCATGGTCACAGCTGTCTGCGGAAAGCTGATAAAGAAAATTAAGACAGGGAAAGAAAAGTGTTTACAAAGGCAAAATCCTATGGCTCAGGTTTCAGAGGGCGCATCTACATGTTCATTAATGCACAGTGGTTACTGTGCATTTATTTAGTATTTGTATAATCAAGTACTAAATCGGAGTTACTGTACAGTAGTGCCGGCAAACACCTTTTTAGTGATGCTGCTGTGCAGTAGCCTAATAATACAGTTGCAGTAGCATATTAGCATTGTCAGTGCTGTGATACACTACTGTGCAGCATTATTAGGCTACTTTGCAGTTAGTGTGTCATGTAGATATACCCAGAGCATAGCAGAATGGCATTTGATCCCTATCTACCTTTGTCTCTGGAAGTCTTCTGTCTCATACTTTTCATATGTCATACAAAGCAGAAATTGTTTCAATACTAAGTATTTTGCAATGCATGAATATAGGAAGCAATAATAATTTAGCAAGTATGTGTTGACAGGGAAACTGTTTGGAGCTGGATGTTAACCTCTGTGATGCTGAGAAATGGTCAGAGCCTCAGTTTAGTGTCCATCTCTAGTTAGGGTACAAGAGAACATTATATGGGATATCTCAGTGTGAGACATTTGCCTGGATATCAGAGGCTTAATCCCAAACTGAACCAATAAGAACATGCTTGGCCCATAACCTGGAAATGAAGCAATGAAACAGCTCAGAGGGCATTCCACACCACTCTCAAACATGTTTGGAGCAGAGGCCTTGAGATTGGTAGCAGGGTGGAAGTACCCTCAGGTGGCCTCACCACCTCATTTACTGGATTGGCACAAGAGGAGCAGGAGCAGAGGGTAGGTTTTGCTTCTTGGCTTTTTCAAGAGCATCCTGGAAGCAATAGACGCATGGCCTAAGTACCGGCGGGGGTGGGGCAGAAGTGGCTAAGTGTGCAGTGATGGAACATTTCCTACCAGCGGACTCAAGCACCATAATTTGGCTCTGACCCCAGACTCAGATTTTAAACCCCAAGGTTGAGAACTGTTCTGATCCAGGGTTTTTGTGTTGTGCCCATGTCTACTAACAAGTGGGAATGAATGGCTCATGTAGAACTCTACTTATAATATATGAGGGTCTCAAGACTGCACAGTGAGAAATGAATCCAAAAGAGGCTCCAAATGAAAAAGGCTGGTAACATGTGAAAGCCTGAGATGCAACAATAGTCCAAAAGCCGAAGTACCTGTTTGTTGGATATCTTGTACAGCTGCCAATTAGAAGAAAAATAATATCTACAGCTGCTGAGCTAGCCATCAGCCACCCCCAGAGTGAGATATAAATATTGACTTCAGTACGAGATATACAGCTTGACTATGAACTTGTTCTAGCCTTAGGCTGCTGACATGCCACTGATTTCACTGGAACCACTCTTGAATTACAAAGGTACACGTAAGCTTAGATTTGGATTCTGTATCTGCGCTTCAAATATACCTGCAGGTAGGACCTTATTCAAAGCTTGCTGGGAGGCTTTCTTTGTCTGGAATAGGAGCTGGCTCATTCCCTTATGAAAGCCTGAGTGAAAATGCTATACATGAAGCTAATATATAGAAATATAGCCATCCTGTGTGTGAGGACTGTACTGCATGGTACAAATAGACTGGTCAGAAAAGGTTTAAGTATCAGCAAGGTAGGAACAGATATAACACACTCAGCCTTTGTACCTGGAATGAGAAGAAAGTAGAGCACAGGCCTGGGGAAGCCCCATCTCATTTTTTATATTCTGGCCAGAAGCTTGGTTCTACTGAAGAATCCTGACTGTTCTGGCCACGGTGAGTGAGGCGGTGCTGACTGTCTCTTTAATATTCCTGAAAGGAAGGAAGCTTTCTAATGGTGTGAGGGCTATGTTGTATGACCCTATGAATCTCCTGTGTTTGAAGCCAGAACTGAGCCTGGTGCCCTTCTTACCTGTCTATGCCTTCCAACAGCCTGAAGTTGAGCTTGGCTTCAGGATGGAGGAGTCTGCCCGCATTGTCGATGAACACTAGCTGGGAAGGCTCAGTCCTCCGGATCTGGTGGGGGGGAAAAAAGCCAAAAGGAGAAGTTCAATGTGTGTACACGCTTTCTCTTGAGATGGTGGGAGGGAAGGGTAGCTTTTATGGAGACTTGTTATTGGAACATTTATATAGCTAGGATAACCTGAGGTCAGAAATGAAAGTCCAAGAGTTTCAGGGTCTACAGGGCTGTTCTGCTAGCTCATGGCAGAACTGTGACAAGTGGTACTTGTCTCACTTGCCTTTCTTCATGAATTGCAGGAGGGGACAGCAGGATTTGCAAAGCTAGTACTCCCTCTCTTACTCAGGTGGGTAGGCAGAGACAGCAAGTGGGAGGTGCCTTCATTCTTTTTGTGTCCCCTTCCTGTCCTTGCGAACCAACACCCTGAACTGGCACAGAGGAAGAGGTGTAACCTGTACCAGGTAAAGGGCTGACATAAGCTACTTTCATCCCTACAGCAAGGGAGAGATATAAGGAACCCAACTGTGACTCAGGCTGTTTTCTTGTCTGCTTTTCAGCCAGCGCAGCTCTGAACTGCCCTGTATGTAGTGCTGGTGGTAAAAGTGCAGTACAATGTTTTAGCTGCACTGAACAAAATATAGAGGGCCTATATGGCCAGGTTGCTCAAGTGAAACCCATCTATTCCCCAAGTTCCCTGTACTAAAATGATCTGCTGTAGGTCTCCAAATTGAAAGTCAAATGTGGCTATCTAACAGCACTGAGCAACCTCAAACGTCACCTTTCATTTTGAGCTTCCCTATTTTATTGCATTTGTTATCATCCAGGGATATATTTTATTAACAGCACGCTGTTCAATTGCAGAGTAGGAAGGAATGTAGAATTAATTTCATTTGTTTAAGATCACATTTATTCTGGCAGAATGTAATGTGAATAGCATAAAAGGAACACTGGCGCTGTATGGCTACTAGGCTGTACTGATTTTTTACTCTAGAGGTGTTGCGTAGGCACAGGATGTAACTGTGTTTCTTACAAACTAACTCGTTCAAAGAGGCATGAGCTTTTTTACCGTACAGCCTACTTCATCATATGCTACTTCATCATTTCATAGCCTCTAACAAAGTAGGCTGTAGCTTACAACAGCCTTGCTGAATGAGTTAGTCTATAAGGTGATGCACTACCCTGCCTTCTGCCTAACTTCAGACTAACATAGCTAACTATCTGTTTTCTGTCAGCTGTAGCTTTATATGTAGAAAGGTTTCCCTGTCTCCTGATATCACACTAGGCTTCTTTGGATGTGACATATCAGAGAATCACATAAAGCACAGAAAAAAGTGACATGGTTCAAGCGATCTGAATATGCTCTACAGTCATGTCATAACACACATGCACAGGTGCAGAGTGGTTTTTAAATGGCCCATTGCAGGAAAATTAACCCGGGTTAAATCAGATGTTACATGAAGGTGCTCAAAAAAGAGATCCTTAGGGAACTTGTGTTCCCTCCAGGGTTAATTTTTCACCCAGTTGGCCAGCAGGGAATGGGGAGAGCAGAGGTTAGGCAGTAGGGCTGTGCGAAGCTTCAGGTGGTGATTCGATTCAGAGGAGATTTGGCTCAATTTGGTAGCCAAATCTCTGAATCTGAATCAAATCAGGGACCAATTTAAAGGTCCGAATCATTTCAAAGCTCTCTGAATCTTTGGAAAAGATTCCAGCCAGCTCTGGCCCTTTAAGAAAAAAAAAAAAACCAGACAAAAGCCCCAGGACTCACTGCTCCTGCAGCGGCCTTGGGGCTTCAGGGGGCTCGTGCAGAACCCCATCCCCCATGGTGCAGGGCAGCAGAGGGAAGCGAGGATCACCCCCCACACGAGCAGGAACGGTGGGTGCAGGGCTTTTCTCGGGGGTTTTTTTTCTTAAAGGGCCGGAGCTGGGCCAGGCTGGGGATCCGTGGGGGGTCTGGGGGAGCGAGGGGATTCGGGGGGCTTGTGTGGAGCCCCCCCATGCAGTGTGGGGCAGTGAGGAGCAACAGGGATTGCCCCCCCCTCCACCCCCATGGCAACACCCGGTGAGCTGGGGCTTTTTTTTCCCAAAGAGCCAGGAGCTGGGGCAGGCAGGGCAGCCATTGCCGGGCTGGTGGGAATAGGCCTGGCTGATTCGGAGATTCGGACGAATCAATTCAGGACAGTGATTTGAATCACTGAATTGAATCACTGTACCCTGAATCTGCTGAATCTGAAGCAAATACTAGCCGCTTTGCATAGGTCTATTAGGCAGCCTCCTTGGAGGCTGCTGGAGCGCCTCTGCCTGCTGGCCGGAACCATTGCAAGCTGACTCTAACTTATGCCTGTTGGGTTGGGGAGGGGGCTCTAACTCATGGCACTTCATGCAAAGTACCATGAGTTAGATTGGGTCCCTAATGTCTGCACCCATAGTGTTCCTTCAGTCTTTTGCAGGACTAGGTTCTGACACATAACACAGAGTAAATTGACTTGACCTCATAGTAAATGTGGAGCAGGTGCACAATGCACAGTTTTATACTGGTGTAAGTCATTCCACTCCAGGTAAAGTTAATCATCAGAAAGTGAGGAGTAACTATATAGTGGTGTAAGTTACACTGGTATAAGAAGGGCAAGTGGTAAGAAGGGCAAACAGGACACACTGGTACCCACTGTCCTTATCAATTTCATTCTAGGGTAGCCATTTGATCAATGCAAAGACGCTTCCCTGTACCTAGTGGCCATGCACTGTCTTAGTGCATAGAGCAGGTCATGCAAATTTGCTGTAGAGTAAAGCCTGGAATAGATTCCTCTGCAGTAGTTGTTCTGGGTATTTGCATTCTAAGAGTAGTGACAATACATGTCCTTACACTGGGCACGTCTATACTTGAAATTAGCACGGTGCAATAAACTCTAGCACAGTTCATGCAGCACTTTGTTTCTCCCAGGCACAGCATTTGGACGTGTACCTGGGACCAGAGCATATTGAACCAGGGCAGCCTCAGCTGGTTGGGAGCCCAAGGGGTCAGCCTGCAAGTCCAGAGCTGCTCCCCACTGTCTCAATGTGCTGCAGAGGGGCTGACTGAGGCATGAGGATGCTACCGTGTGGGGCTAACCCCACACGGTAGCACCCTCATGCCCCAGCCAGCCCAGCCAGCATCTACACATGCATTGTGGCAGAGTAAATAACTCCACTGTAGTATCTGGTAAATAACTTATTCACTTGTATCTGACAGTACTATCCTACAGTGGAGTTAATTAGTTTACTCCTGCCTAATAGGGGCACATGTGTAGACAGTGATGCTTTACTGTGGAGCTAATTAGTCAACTCTGTAGTAAGTGTCTTATGTAGCTGCAACCATAGGGCACATCTATATGTCCATATTAATGTGATGCAGTTAACTCTGGCGCTTGTCGCGTTGGATCTTACTGCTCCTGGGCACTCTGTTTACATGTGTGCCTGGGACCACAGCATGTTGAGCTGGTTCACAGCAGCTCCAGCTCTCAGGGCACTTGTGGAGGGGAAGGGAGACGGGCATCTCACAAGCCTGCAAGCCCGAGGCAGTTCCTCCCATCTCAGTGTGCTTTGGAGGAGCTGGCTGGGTCACAAGGTGCTTCAGTGTGGGGCTAGCTGAAGCAATCTTGTGCTCCAGTCAACCAAGGTAGGGTAGCATTTACATTCACATGGCTGTGGGGTAAAAAGTACCATCCTGCTGCAGAGTTAATTAGTTTACTCCAGCATAATGGGGGCACACGTGTAGATGTGTGACACTTACTCTGGAGCTAATTAGTCTACTCCACAGTAAACGTCTTGGATAGATGTGTCCACTGACTGGCAGATTGCACTACAAATAAGCCTAATGAAAACCTTATTCATAGAAGATCCATAGAAACATAATACTCTCCTTATTTTTCCTTACCCTGAAATCAGCTTTCCTTTGATATATTTTGCCCTTTCTTTTTGGGTTAAGAACATAACACAAATTAGTAAGAGGGAACCAAACTATTAAGAAATATTTGGCAGTTAGTAGCTGAAACAAGGCAGGTGAACACAATGTTTGGTGATGCTATACCAGGATATGGACCAAGACAAGTTCTCTAGGGTTTCTACATTTGTCATGGAGCATTTCCTCCACACAAGGCTCGGAAGGGTCTGGTTGGAATCCACAGCAGTAACGATCCAGGCGGTCATGAACCTGTGGGAGACACGAGTCTTTAGAAGTCTCAGGTCAGTGATGTCAAGTTGTATTTGAACAGGGAACATTTTGTGCTTGGAAGAAAAGGAAGGACTGGCAAATATTCAGAGAGAAAGCAAGATAATTCATTAATGGAAAAATTTTATATAGAGGAATTAAAGATGTTTTGAGAAGCATACAGAAGTTCAACAGCTTTTCGGAGCCCCAACTTCAACCACATTGGCCTGGAAAGTAAACTAGCAAACACACAACAATAGGCTTTCCTGCAAGATTTTAGGAACTTTCTCCCTACAGGGCTTAATGTTTGCATGGATTGAATAGACTGTGCTGAACCCAATAGGAGATGCATATGAAAATAAATGCAAAACAAAATAAGTGAATCTAATTTTGTTAATCTCATAAAGAGAGTTTGCTCAGGGTAATGCTCAGTTCAAATACCAGATGAAGGTTTAGATTGTTTTCTGTTTGATATAAACCATTTCATCTATCCCCAGTACAATACACACAACTCTTGACAGAAATGAGTTGAGCAAGGAGGGTAGAATAGGGGGATGCTTTGGTGTATTCTTTATTGCATAGCAGGGGATTTGTACTGTAGTTTGCTGAGCAAGGTCAACACATCAGGGATGGCATCATAACTCCCTCTACTTGTACTTGGGCTTAGTAATTCATGGGCACTTTTAAACCTGTCCCTCCTCATTTCCACGGCTGTCAGCCTACTCAGTGAATTGTTGATGTCTCCCCGATGTCCTAGAGCTCCTTCAGAGGCCCCTGTTGTAAATGTACGTTGTAAAGTCTGAAGCACTGCCCCTGAAAGAGCTGCACTTCACGGATTCTTCCCAAGGATGAACTGTTCCTGTTCATTTTATGCTAAGGTGCTAATTTAGCATAGTTGAAATAAGCTTGACACAGGAATGAAGTGATCTGAGCTCATTCCTTTGTTTTCGATAGGGCCATGCCACCGTGCTAGAGCCAGAAGCACTCCACATGTTCTCTGTCAGAATGCATGTCAAGTGAGTCACATTCAGCAGCAAGTGCTATGTCATCCAAACCCAGAGAGTCAAACTGTCCCATGACTAGACAGTCATATCCTTGGAAGAATGAACAGGATTTGACTCTACCTGAATGTTAATAATTTCTATCTTGCTATAAGTAAAACCTGGAATCCCTAATCCCTTTTTAATTTGTTCATGTGCCTTCTTTCTTAACTTTGTTGCAAGAAGCCATTAGATTTTTCCACAAGGCAACTGCAGGTTCTGCCAGCAATATGATAACTAGCATGTTTGGATACAGAAGGCCTGTAGTTGCATATAGGTAGCTGACTTGCTGCCTTGGCCTCTTCAAAGTATCACAGCATAAATTAACTTCTGCAAACATATCATGCTTTCCTGAAACAGGACCTGTACTGCTGAGGAAAGCAGAATTCCTGATGAGGCTGAGAAACAGAGAGATTTCACATGGGGCTGCCAACGGTCTGGTTCAGACCAGAGATGCGTGACTCTATTGCCTGATTTGAGACTATGAACTTAAGAGTTGGGACAGGTTCAAGAGGAAGATGTATTATTTTTGGGTAGACACCATGCTGTTGCTGGTAATTTCCTATGGTTTCAAACCTGACAGTTAGCAGAACTCCACAATTTTAACCAAGTTCTTATTAGAGATTTGAGCTTTCTTTGAACCTCTCATTCAGACCACAAGGAAAGAAGATATTGTTACGAAACATACAGTTTGAGTCTTGTGACTGTTATAGGATGCTTATTCCAAAACAGGAATTAGAATGGAATTACTTATTTCAAACACAGGCTAGTGTTTCTTAACAAGACCCCATGATTTCTAATGTTTAATGAGGTACTCAAGTTAATATTTCTCCTTCAGGAAACCAAACACAGAAAGTGTTTCATATGTCAACTTCTCTGACATGAAATACATTTGAACAAAAGAAAATGCTGCATTTATTCCATGTACTTTGTATGCATAGGTCTTGCAAAGCACAACACATTGGTTCTCTCACTTACTATGTTGTTTTTTCATCATAGTAGAATTAATAGCCTGTGCAGAACATACAGAATATCTTAGATGATTTATAGAGACATTAAATGTACTTGTGCACTAGAAAGACATACTGCATATACATTGGGAGACTATGAAAAAACATAACTTGCCAATCCCATGCACAGAAAGAGACATTGGCCAAATTTTGAATGCTGTCACTTACCTTGGGCCTGCAAAATGTGAACACCTACTTATATTGCATGTTCTGCATTGCAAACTGAAAAATGCACGTGAGAATGGGTAGTAATAACATATTGTGATGTCCAACCCATCCCCCCTGGGCAGGAACAGCAACCTACAGCATGCACAGCAGATGGGGAGAAGATGCATTTTGATGAAGAGCCACATGAAAATGCTCTGATAAAAAGTATCACAGGATACTTAATAGAGAAGACCTATGTTTTTAACTGTCATGTACTCCTATTCCATTTATCACATGAGATACCAAGGTCCTGCCTCAGAAGGATGAAAGGAACAATACTTTTGTTATCTCCATCTCTTTTTTGACATCTGATCCCTCGGACATTGTCTGTGCAGGAACAGCCAAGACCCCATTCCAACTTGGCTTTGTCTACCCAGTATATCATGCCCATTTCTGCAATAAAAACAAGCACTTCTACATCTCCTCCCATCTAACGATCTCAAAGTGTTTCTGAAAAATACTGATTTGAGCCCTTCACTGTTGTGAAATTAATTATCGTTATACAATTTGTGCATAAAGGAAATTTTAATGACCTGGCTACAGCTGCATCAGCTGTCTGGAGCACAGCCAGGCATAGAACCCAGGTCTCCGAACACTGAGATCTATGACTCTAGGATGAGACAATTTGTCCCAAATGATCTGTTGAACAGGAGGTGTTCACAATGGATTTCAATACCATTGGATGATACAATTAAATAGCCCATATGTAGGAGCCTACCTTACATCAAAGTGTAGTGGGAGAAAATATGACCACCTGGTCACAAATTAGGAGAATGGATTGTTTAGTCTATTTGAGGATTAATGTTTTTAATGAAATTCTAAGCCTTTTTTCTGGCAGGTACAATAGACTCAATTTATTGTTATCTGAGTTTCCATAAATGCTTAGTTGAATTGTAAAACGTTATTTAAAAAAAAAGATGCACTGCAAACAAATATTTTTTTCCAATACTTTCCACTTCATATTTTTACAAGAATGTGAGCAGTGTAGAAAAGCATTAGTATCCTGAAATGCTGGAGATTTTACATACAGAACTACAAGTGGTTGATCCTGGGTGAAAGCTGGGTTTTGGTGTACACTGGTTTTAAAGAACTTTTCCACTATTTTGGTTTAATTTTGTTTCTTGCTTCTCATGTCTTTCAGAATACTTTACAATTTGAGTATATTCCAAAATAATATGATGAAGGTTAAAGTTAAAATTAGTGAAATTAGTTAAAAGTTTTGTCAATATATTAGAAGCTTTCAAGGATTCACTCAGTCAGGAAGATTTACTGGATTCTAACAAACTGTATTTCATAGGACAGCATAATCTAAAACCAGCATGCCTATTTTAAGACACCAACAAGAAATGAGAATTTCATTCCAAGTTATTCTTTACTTTAGGTTAGTTTTGGACAAGTACTAAGCTTTGCTTAGGTGGGATTATAAGGGCAATTAATTACGGGGCTGATTCTCATTTGCACTGAGGTCCCTTCAGAGTGTTCTGGCCATGTAAAGGGAGCTTTAAGTCAGTGAAAATTATGGGTGCATGCATTTTCAGTCTCCTCACATGGCCAGACTGTTGTTAAAGGGTCCTAGGGTAAATGAGAATCAGATGCCATATATATTTGTACAAGATATGACTAATTACTATCCTCTGAACTCTACAGTTTTAACTGGACTGGGGTTATGTTATGAAGGGTTTGAACGTCTCTACGCACCATGGTTCTCATACTTCCCAAAGAGACTGTATTTTGGGATTTGGCTATTTTTGCCTACATCTGCTTCCAGTAATTTTAATGTGAGTTCTATGGGCATCAGTGGGAATAGGACTGGGATTATTTTAACCTCTTTCATTTTGATTGGACCTCTATCATATTAACCACAAGGTCTCATTGCTGACTGACACAGGAAGGTGGAGGTGAAACCAGCCCAAGACAGTGATGGTATGCAAAGTGACCTGCCAACCTAAAGCTAAAATCACTACCTAAGAGATGCACCTTGGCTCCATTGCCAGACTGGATGCTGACTGCAACAGGGGAATTCTGACCCTGCTTTGCAGTACTGCCCAGAGAGTAAACAGCAATGTTCATGACATAGGATGCACTCTCTTCAGAAGATTTTTCCTGGCAACAAACTCTTCTGCCTGTGGAGAGAGATCCACAGAGTGCTTTTGAGTCGCGTTACTGAGCCAAGGGATAAGAAACAAGGCGTAGTCTTTGTGAGGTGTTTGTAATGGATTTCAATCAATGCAGCTGGCCTTTGTAAAACAACCGCACATTAGGGAATGATGAAAATAATAGTGCAGTGCCTTGTGGGAATATGAAATAACAACCCTTGTAAGATCATCCTGAATGACCAGTCTGTAGAATGCACTGGAGATTTCAACTCCTGCTCTGGAATTGTCCCGGGTGATTCCGCATTCGAAGGATTGCATTCTCCATTCAATTCCCTAGAACGGTAGAATACTTTCTGAAGAACCTTCTCATATGCCTGTAATGATCTGCTGGCCTCATCCCTATCCATTTTTATAGGACTTTTCCATTGGGGTTATCCCTTTGGACCTATTCAGAAAACCTTTAAAAAAAAATCTCTGATTTTTTATGTCATTTGATCCATTTAACCCCTTTAGTCAGGGCTGTCCAATTTTGCCATGGGTACATGCTTAGGGGGCAACCCCTTGGAATCTTCTCCACTGCATGAGCTGGGTCAACTGCCCTTGGCCCCCTCTATCTCCACTGAATGGGCTGTGATAGCAGTAATGGCCAG